AAAGGAAGAGATTTTTATTATTTTTTTTTAATTACATCTCCACCCCCTATTCACCCCTTAAGAAAGCCCAGATTTTGTGACTAACAACTGCAGGTCAATAAAAACATGGAGAGGTTACTTTATTATACTCAGCCTAACATTTTATGTTATTTTGTTCTCCCCAAATCCAGCTATCCCCTGCTATTCAGATGTAAGATATTCCACAAGGAAAAAGCACTTAAGATTATGAAGACACACCAGGCAGTCATATCACAGTAAAATAACTATTCATGTTTTCAAAAAAGAAAACAACACTGCAAAACTGGAACACCTTCATTTCTGAAGTCAGCAGTACATTCTGGTGATGGAGTATCCTTTTTCATTATTCCATACATATTAGCTGCATCAGTCAACATATCACATAAGGACTGCAAGATAGCCTGCTAATGGCAACAAAAAGATTCCCATTAACTTCAGTCTGCTTTGAATCAAATCTGTGATACCTAGCACATTGCTGCTTTATAGAAATAAGTAGCTGGTATTCATCTGTGGTTTGCACTGATATTATCCTTTTTTATTGAATAAGATCCAAATGATAGCTGTATAAATCCAGCTTCTAATGAAACTCGCATTCCTAAAATACAAGCTCTAAACATTTCTAAGCGCATTTCCCAAATCAAGCTTCCAGCTATTCACACTGTATTTCACAGGACAGCAAAATAAATGATGATTAATACAAACTATTATGTGAACACAGATTTCTTCTCACCTGATGACATCAGAAAAAAAAATAAATAAACAGAAAATTGCCTGCTTACAGATTAATATTAATGTATGAGTTTACATTAGCATTTTACATTAGCCTTGTTTTAATCCAAAGACTTGTTCAGACAGTAAACCAATAAATTTGTAAATATTTTTTCACAAGTAGTTTGCTATGGAAAGCTGAATAAAAAGTATCAGAGGGCTGACTTCAGAAGGTCAAAGGTTTCATCAACAGCATGTCACATCTTGGATGCCAGATATCAGCTTCATTTCCTACACTGCAAAGACAAGTTAGCTCACATGAAGTGTCCTTACTCCTGCCCCTAGGTTTTTAACAGGAATGTGCAGTTATGAATAAAATCTGCCCTCTTACATAAAAAGCAAATGCATCTCCAGGAGTCCAAAACATTCAAGTTCAACATAAGCCAAAAATATTAGTTGAACATAAGACAAAATGAGTTTCCATTACATCAGCAGTTTTCAAAGCAGCTAGAACAATTTTTGCAGGCTAAATAAAAGGCAGTACTAATGTCAGTTGAGTATTAGGGCTAAGTAATGATATACCTTTTGAATAGTTATGCTTGTCCTACAAAGAGCTTTATGACACTGAGCTCTATGAATTTAATTGACATGACTAGAAGATTAACAAATTTATGCTATGCCACATTTTATTATCTAGGGACTTAAGATTAAAGTTAAAGGCTTGACTCTTTGCCTTCAGAATGCCAACTGTAAACCTGAGGTCAGTTGTACTGTCACCACACAGAGAGAAATTAGCTACCTCATTACCCAAGTAATGCTGATATTTCCATAGGGAGAGCCGCTTTTACTTTGGCCAGCTCTTTCCAATAGGGCTTTTTCCTTTATGTCTGCATTACAAAGCAGAGCTGGCTTTAATATTATGCAAGATATTTCAAAGCCAGACATACAAGAGTAGGACTTCTTTATCCCAAGGTACACATAGACAATTAAACAGATACTTTGTCTTATTAAAGAAATAAAAATACAAAACAGAAGCCTTTAACTACCACAAAGTCACTCTGTAGGATCTAGATTTCTCTGGTACCCGTATCTTCACAGCTCAAGTCATACACTTACTTTACATACATAATAGTAATAATAATAATAATAAAACATATGCAAAAATAATATTTATCAGTCCCTTGCTAGGGACTACAAGAGGACACAGCACCAGAACAGCAAGTATCTAAATTCTGGCTGGAGACTGAGATTGTACCATAACAATTTCTGCACAAAAGGTATTACTGAAAAACACCCTGTACTCTGACATCTCTCATCTGGACAAATATTACCTGATCCAATGTAGGGAACCATCTCATTACCAGAAGCAGCACAATCTCACCTAAGAAAATAACCATCTGTAACCAGTTTACAATAACATCATTAAAACTACTCATGAAACAAATGTGATTCTTCCATCTCTTTCAGGCAGGAACATACAACAACCTGCTTCACAAAACTGTACAGATTATACAGAAAAACCCACTAGAGATTTACCTATTCTTTAGATTTGCATCTAACAGTTCCCATTAAAAGATGTCTTTCAGTTTTACTGCTGGCTAGATTATTCTATCAATATAAACGCTCAATGCCTTTTGCAAAAGTTCAAATAAACTAATGCAAACTGAGGTAAATGATCACCATCCATTCACACTTCACAAGTTCTCCTAATAAAAAACTTATAAATGGCTTTTCCATTTCTAATGATGAAGTAATCACACAGGAGCTATTTCCTATATAAAAAAGGTAATGACCCAGGGGCGAATAAAGTATCTTCTCATTAAGGCATTAACTTAGTCATTAAGAAACTGAGGTCATTTTCATCCACCATGGGCTGCCTCCGATTTTTAGACAAGTTCTGTTTATAACTTCACAATCTTTATGTTAGGAGAACCAATATCCCTTCTCATGGTTCTTTATATTGTCTGATAGATACATAAATTTACTGCCACAGAGAACATTTTTTCGTGCGCTTTATCATACATATACAATGAAGGCTCTAGTAAATGTCTAAAATAAACATCTGTACACCCTTTATGGGTTACGAGTAAACATCCACTGACTCACATACACACCCAACAAAAGTCTACCAGCATGATACAGACTTACATATTAACAATGCCTGTAATTTATTTTTAAATTAAGCATAGCAAAACACAAAACAAAGCAAACAAAATAATACAGGGAAAGAAAGAGTTGGCTCTTTACAAAGAAAACCAGTGTCATAAGTTGAAATCATACTTCTGGAATGCCTGTGTGCCCTTCAGTGGCTTTACACAACAGTAGGCAGCCTCCCTATCTAGATTCTAACAGTTGACATGAAAAATCGCGGCACTTTCGAGTCAAAACAAAAGTTAGAGGCTCTCAACTCTGAAAGCCAAAGCTACACTTGCATATTTTACACAAAATCTAATGACAATCAGAACAGCTTAGAATACCACAAAAGCAACGCTTGGCTGTGATTGCAATGTATGCAGCTACTTGTGTATTGCTTCTCAAAGAACAGAAATCCAGAGTCATCAGTTCATTGCCAACATATACTAGAAATAAAGCATTACAGAGGTGGTTGTACCAGTTTTCTTCTGGCATCTGATACAAATTCTACCAGTTCTATACATTTCCCTCCTATTTATAACCCAGCAGCATCCAGTGCCTTCATTCTCGGTTCTTCAACTACTTATACACTTACTTCAGTGAAACTGTTTGAATGACAGTCTCCAAAACAAATCTCTAGAAAGCTTGACAGATGGTGTTACGAAGGGTAAAGCCAGGTATCTGGTGTGAATCTGACATTAGCATTCTCTACAGTTTCCACAGACAACTCACCTTCATCTTATAAAAATTCACATATACTTAGGCCTCGCTATATAAAGAGGGAAAAAGAAAACTAATCATTTACTCAATCTCAGTTGTCCTACATACATTTTCCACCTAGATCTGACTCCTAAAAATACCTTTTTTTTTTTTTTTTTTTTTTTTTTAAGTTTACCCTGCACACTTTCAGCAATGCTTTGTGCCTTTTCTGCCTCTCACATGCATATACTCAGCAGATAACTCCCCCCTCTGGGAAAAGATCAAAATGCAAGGTGCAAGAAATGCACCCCTATGAGAAATACAGATACATTCTATTTTTATTAGAAAGAACAACCTCATAACAAGCAGTGCAGCTGTCTCTTCTGCAGTGAGATAGCTATAACAGAAATGTATAGAATGTGTCTTTATTCACCCTGAATTTCCAACTGACCAAGCAGGAGCACTATGACAAAACCTGGACTCAGTACATTTACTCCCAATCAATAAAGCAGGTATTTAAGGAAGACGATATAAAGGGCTGCTGATATAGGGAAAGATGCTTACTGCTAACATAATGAGTTTTAAATAGTTATGATTGCCCCTAAGACATAATAGAACTTCAGAAATTATTCACTTCCCTGAGTGAGGGCAATTTGAACTGGCAACTTCCTCACAGGCTCATCCATACACTTTTTTGCCTTGGTCTCACTTACCAACTCCATAGCTTGCCGTGATTCATGCTTCAATCTTCATTACTTTTTTTCTAAATGTAATGGAGATTTTTACAGTGAATGTCACACACCTCACAGGAAACTGGGAAGTGTTGCAAGCACCTTAGGGGATGACACTTCTATGCATGCTGAAGTGCTGCACCACAGGGCCGACATTCAGTAACCACATAAATTATAAATCACAAACTTTCTGAAGATCCTCCAAACCAGTCTGACTAAAGTGAAGAGCACAGAATTCAGAATTAAGCATAATGCAAAACGTTACAGGTAGCATATTCCGGATCTCTACAGAAACCAAAGCGGAAATCATTGTGTCCTGGATGGAACAGTGTCATGAAACCAATAATTCATAAGCAGCCAATGCCCACCACAGCGAAGCAGAGTGAAACAGCGCTCTGCTAGCGCTGTAACACCATTACAGTACGCACCTTACTGCTTGAGTACAAGAGGCGAGCTGCAATGAGTTACACGAGATCCGAGCGTTCCTGTACGGCGCGCACAGCCCCGCGAGGTGGCCCCGGGCCGAACGACGCTGTGCGGGGCTGTGGCGCACGGTCCGAGCGCTGCGCCGGCGACCTGCGCGCACCACGCGCACCCCGGCACCCACTGCCACGCGTGGCCCCCGCGCCGGCCCCGAGCTGGCGGCTGCCGGGCAAGGTGCCTGGGAACGACGAGAGAGATGCACAGTGGCGGGCGGGAACGGAGCCTTACCGTCGGCCAGAAGGCGCATGGCGTGCACAAAGGAGGGATCCAGGCTGTCCTTCTCGGCCATCAGCTCGGGCAGGTACTTCTCCTGCTCCATCGCCTCGGGGCCGCGCCGCCTGGGCAAGCCGGGGCGGGCTGCGCGGCCGCCGGCTGCCTCCTCAGCGCCCGCCCCGCCCGGCGCCCCACGGCTCGCAGCTGTCGCCCGGCCCGGCCTCCCCTGCCCGGGGGGCGCTCCCCGCCCCGGCACCGCCTCCGCCGTCCCCCGGCCGCGCAGGGGGGCGGGGGCTGGGGAGTGCGCGGCTCCCTCCGCGCCTGGCACCACCGTACGTCCCGGCCCCCTCCTGCCAGTGAGCGGCCCGCTCCCTCCGGCCGTCTTAACAAGGGAGGCGGGGCGAAGCGGGACGGCCCCGCGCTGCTCCCATTGGTGGAAAAGCCCCTCGGGCGGGGCCAGCTCATGAGTTCAGCGCCGCTATTGGCTAGTGAGCAGCGAGAGGCGCCGGGCGGTGGGCGCGGGGCTGAGGGGCGAGAGAAAGGGGCTGCGTGTGCGTGCGCCTGTGTGCAGCGGAGAGCGTGCGTGCAGGTGTGCGCTGCGCGTGCCCGTGTGTCTGGCAGTGTGGCTGTGCGTACACCTGCGGCTCCGTGGGGCCCCGGTGCTTGTGCACGCGTGCTCGCGCTGTGTTGCCGTCTCTCCCTCGTTGTGGGAGCGTGTGCTCGCGGCCGTGCCTGCGCTGGTCTGTCAGAGGCCGGGAGTGTGCGGCTGCGTGGGAGGGGCTGTGGCTGGATGCACTTGTTGTGACTCTGTCCGTGTCCGTGTGTCTCGCCTCACTTTCGTGTCATTTATAGCGGCTGGTGAGCGCTGTCCGCAGTAGTGAAGATGAGGGGCGAGCGCTGTCCGCGGTGCTGAGCGCACATGGCAGGCGCTGCCCTTCATCCAGAAGGCGCGGGCTGGACGAGCGAGGGGCTCGCTGACTGAGCTCCGTTTCGGCAGCATGGGGCTGCGAGATTGCATCTTTCCTGAGGGTGTGATCGGAGAATCTGCAATCAGGCACGGCTGTTTAAGCAGTGCACTGAAAATGTCTGCCTGTGGCTGCTGTGAATAGCTGGGGAGTGCTCAGTAGGTGTCTGGCGGTCCAGAGAGGAAGGAACTATCTCTGATGAGGAATTCCATGCTGCACCTTCAGGAGTAGCTCTCTGCACCTCCAACAGTGCAGAATTAAAACAGTCATGCAGCTAAAACGTCTATATTTGTAGTTAAGAAAAAAAAAAGAGAGAGAGTTTAGTATACATTGACTACTGGTAACAGCGAATTTAGTACAGTTTTTTAATGTTGAGAGTAAACAAAAGATGCTTAACTGATATTTAACTTCATTTATGGGACCTCTAGGACACTCTAATGAAGAACACTATGTGTTATGGTCAATATGCATGTGAGATTATTTCCTAATTCTTACTATTCAGACAACTATCTGTTTATTCAAATGGAATAAATAACTGGTGTATGATGTCTCTTGTATTATGCACTGTTGTTTTGTTTGTTTGTTTGTTTGCTCTAGTTGTTTGTGTGTTTATGTGTGTGTTGTTTTGAAATCTATATTTTTTATTTTCTTTTTTCTTTTTTCCCTTTTTTTTCATGATGAAGAAATGAAGAAAAGTAAAAATATGACAAACAGCCTATGAGGATTTTGAAGACACTGTGCCACTACTGCATAGAAATGAGCTCTGTCATGTTTTCAAAATCCAGAGATAAATGCAGACAAATTTTACTGAATTTTCTCTCCAAGTGCAGTACAGTTGAGTGGCTACATGTGTTTACAAAAATATGTAGAGAATGTCAGTGACTGAAATATACTATTTTATCATATTTTCAGGGGAAAAAAAAAAAAAAAACTGACAACTGAATTCTCTGCTGAGGAACAGAAGTGGGAAATCTTTTATTTCAGAAAATTTGCCCAAACACTTCAGAATCAAGGAAGAGTGATAACAGAATTTAATGATTTAATTGACAGTTTTTCTGCAAATTGCATGTGAAAAAGGCATGTCATCCTTAAAGCTAAACAAACAAATAAACAAAACCAACAACAAATATAAAACAAAGACAAGCACAGGACTATATATATATTAAAAAAAAAAAAAAATTAATAATTTATCCTGATCCAATTTACTGTATGAATAGATCTTTATTTCTGGTTAACAGCTGAGTGAGAAATAGCATACTGTTTGCAACACAGTTTCGAACGTTTTTAGTTGAGCACACTTCAAAGCATATATCTGCAGTTCTGGTCATCACAATATTTCAAGCTGGTGTTCTTCAGTTTAGAAAGAGAGAAGACAAGTGATGGGTGCATTCTATTTAAACATGTTCAAGACTAATCTAAGCCATCATGATTCAGAAGCCATACTGGTCTAGTAACCATTGGAATATACCATAGGATGATATAGGATCACAGAAAATGAGTCAGGGGTCTTTCCATCGGTTGGAAGAATAGTATTATCTTAGTTTAATTGTATTAAACCTCCTTACATTGTTGAAAGCCTTGATTTAAACACCTTTATGTTTATTAAGCTACATTCATCTAACTACTACTTTTGTCCTATGTGAAAGGAGTAGAGGGCAGGTTTGCATGCACATTCTATGGTCAAGTATAGAAGGGCAATTTTTCTTTAAGTTCAATTTTCATAAGATTGAATTGAAAGTTAAATTGACTTTCAGTGATACTTAGGCTGCACAGCCATTGAGATACTTTTGTGAATTTTGCCTGAGACCTCTTTAGAAAAAAAAATAAAATGTTATTAAAATCTGTCAGACAGGAAATATAGACCTCTAATGACATCAAGCATTACTTCATTGCTAGTTGGAGATCAATTTTTTCACAACTACTAAAACTCAAAGACATATTTTACAACTTTTTAGTTTGAAGTGTCAATGTCAAGCCAAATTAAAGTTTATCTGTACTTTATTTTATTACTAAGTGTGATAATGAAGTGATCAGAGCATACCAGATTATAGCTCATTTGAAAATAGAACAGGTAAGTCACTGTATAAATGATTATGTATTCTTACCAATGCCAACTAAGTATACCTGTTGTGTATTATCTAGTCAAAGGCAGTGGAAGCAAACAATTGTGGGAATAATTCTGAATTTTCTAAATGCTTATTTTAAAAATTATGAAGTCTGCTGAGAATATGCTACAGACTGGCCACTGTGAGCTTATTGATAATAAGTTATGCATCTAAAGCATCATATTGAAATCACTGTAGTAACTTAAATAAATGCACTTATGTTTGTATGTGTGAGTGTACATAGGTCCTTATGCACCAAAGATTAGATTTATCAAGAGTTTTCCATTTTAGAAATTCCATTAGCTCTCAAATTTGTTGCGTTTCACCTGCTCTAGCCTGGGCAAAGGGTTATCAGCTTCCTGAAATGATGCTAGATTGGGATAAAAAACAAAGGTAGTTTCCCCTAACTATTTTAACTGTACTTTTCTCTTAAAGTGGAATTATAATTGATGATATAAGGAATAACGAATCAACAATACATATGCAAGATGGAGGGAATGTCTCCACCTCCTGATAATACCTTTGTATGTGATGTTTCCAAAAGTAGGTGTACATCAACAAGAACACAATTCACGATAGATCACTTTTAGACTAGCCTCATCCACAGAAAAAGGATTATGGACTAATGCAGGTGATTAAATTCAGTGGAAAAATCAGAATCACAGAATCACAGAATTGTAGGGGTAGGAAGGGACCTCCTGAGATCATCAAGTCCAATCCCCCCTGCCAAAGCAGGTCGCACAGGTAGGCATCCAGGCAGGTCTTGAACATCTCCAGAGAAGGAGACTCCACCACCTCCCTGGGCAGCCTGTTCCAGTGCTCCGTCACCCTCACTGTAAAGAAGTTCTTGCACAACTAGTAGAGTTTGGATGTTTCCATTTATACATCTGAGTAAATGCTTATTTTCTTAGAGACAAACTATACAAATTGGTCTTTATTCTGTTTAAATCATATAAATCAACTTCAGTTAAAAATATACCATTAGTTATTTCCTTCCAAAACATCAAATAATTTCACAGATTTGGTGAGTCTTGTACTCCAGCAGAATTCAGAGTGAATTCCAGGTGTACAATCAATGATGACTCGTGATATAACTTGGTTTATGATAGTCATATGACAAGCTTTGAGATCATCAAAACACATGTTGAAAAAAAATATATATATGTGTTAATGTTCTATTTCATATTTAGTGTTCTTGATATGTGGTAAAGATAAAGCAACTGAAAAATTGAACCAGGGTATATGTAATGACTGGAAGTATAACCACATTGAAAATCTCTTTTGTCACTAATTTGGAATGCTCTTAAGTAAAATAATAAGCTATTAAACAGCAGTTGAAGACAGGGGGAAAAAAAACCTTAAATGAACTGTAATCAACGTGTCTTATATTTTGCTTACTCATGCTTGAAGCTTTGCCCTTGATGTTCTTTTTGACCTTTATTACTGTTTATCCTTTGCAGATAGATCAAGTACTTTGATCAAATTTCTTTCCATGATTATAGCACTGTTTCCGCCAGTTTCTTTTCACCTTACTGAAATCAATATGTAATAGATATCTGAATTTCACTTTCATCTTTATCTCCAAGATTTAGAACTGCTCATAGAATCACGGAATCATAGAATCACTCAGGTTGGAAAAGACCTTAAAGATCATCGAGAGCTCTTTTTAATACAAAACTTCATGACATACAAATTATCAATGAAATGGGATTTTAAAAAAAAAGAAAATTCTTCACTACACAACTTTCAAGTAATTTATTAAGATTAATAGTTCATAAGGAAATCAGATAACCATAACAGTGGTCAAAAATCATGGAAGTTTTCTTCAAAGTAAGGACAGAGATGGAGAAAGGTTTGACACTATACAGCATATTTACTAATCTACATGTAAGTGTATTACTTGTAATTATAAAAATACATCACTGTTTATTATAGACTGATTTAAAAATATGCTATTTGCTAAAGAGATGTTTGGAAAAAGCTAATGTCCAGAACCTTGAAAGTAAGGAGCAGCAGCAGACACACTTTAGTGTTCTTTACTATCAGACTGTCCACCAGTATCCACCAGTACTGCCTTCACACACTCAAGTTTTAGGTCTAGTTTTGTGTTGTCTGTGTTGCTCTCTAAAGCTGAAGGTTGAAAAGTATTTCTCTACCAAAGAAAATGAAGTAGACTTTATTCTTCTGAGGGCAGTCTTATTTAGATACTGTGGGAGCTTAAATATTACTCAAAAGAAAATGTTACTTCAAAAGCCTG